TTATTTATTTGTTATCCTATTTTGGTTTCGTTGTGTTAAGTATTTGTCAATAAAGACTTTTAAAAGTGTTTATGTTTCCTGCGTCGTCTGTCTGTTAGCAAGATTACGCAAAACTAATAAATGGATCATCGTAAAACATTAGTGGAATTGTACATAATAATCAAAGAAAGACACATTCAATTTTCGGAAGGACAGGGTCAAGAAAATTCGATTTTTTACATCCAGCATAAAAGAAAATAATGAAATCGCCCCATGTATTCAGGCAGCTCTCTTATACACATCTAGATGTGTATAAACCCCCCCCCCCCCCAAATTAAACACCACTTTCTGTGTTCCCGTTTAATTTCCTATCTTTTTACATTATCTGTTCCCTCCAATTAAAGACTCCCTCTATTTAGAGACCGAAAATCATGGTTTTAGTGGACCCAAATGAAAATTTTCCCTCAAATTAAAGACCACTATAAAATTAGTATTGATGTTAATGCTATTGTTTGTTTGTTTGCAGGCCCTCAGGAATTTTTTCAAGCATTAAATCTAACCTTCGTATAATGATTTTCCTATAGTGTACTATGCGGGTGGCGGAGCTCTACTAATTGCTTGTTATAGGATAAGACGTCTGTGTGCGTTTTGTGTATATAACGATAATGTTAGTGGTGGTGTTTGCAATATTTTAATGGAAAGTCGCTTAGAACAAGTACAGTAATTGATGTTTGAATTTCAAAGAAAGAATAAATAACACATGCAGTATCATTCTAAACCATTTAATTTATTTAATTATTATTAAAACAGTTCTCTTGTTATTGGTTGATTATTGAATTAACTATTCAAGAGAAGAACCGCATCGCATCTACATTTTGACTCCACATAAAATGGTTGACGCGTATCGATGACCAAGCTGAATAAGACGTAAAAATTACCCAGAATGCAATTTAATATGACTGAAATGACTTTAAATAATAAAACCTTTAACAATATTTTCACCCGCGACTACCAGGATACAAACAATCATGATTTCTCTTATCCAAGTAAAAGCTCATGTCGGTATCCAAATAAAACGAAGGTTGAACTTAATATTAAAGATGTTTAAATACAACGTATTACAAATATACAGTAAAGTTAAAATATACAAGTGGGAGGACATAATTACAATGTTAATTGGTCGCTATCTTTTATTCATTCGCATTTTTTTTTTCATATTATTCATTCGTTCTGACTTTCGACAATTAACTCTCTAGGAGTTAGAAGGTTACCGTATAGCTGCGAAATAAAATAAATATAAATATAAAGCGACATGTATAATACAAATATAAAGCGACATGTATAATCACAAAATCACGCCTTCATAAAGGACAGTGTAGGATTTCGAATTTTTTGGTGAAGAGTGATTTTGGATCTAACACGCACTTTTGCAGAAACACATGCGTTCACTGACGCGTTACTAAAATTGACCAGTATGGTTTTGGCTACAGTGGGTAAAAGCCGACCCGGCTAAGGACTCCATAAGTGTAGGACCATGGTTCTTAATAGGCCGCCCGTGTGAAAAAAAATCTACACCTAAAAGGATGTGATGATGATACAAAAGCGTTATTCAATTAATTGACTAATTGAGTCTTGATGCTTCGCAATACAGTATACTGATGAAGCCTAAAGACACATTGTAAACGGCGTTTTAAAAAGTTTAAATCCGGGTTTACATAATTAGAGGAAAGAAAACAGGATATCTTCATAACATTTTGCACTTTCGGAATTTCGATATCACACCTATTTCCTAGTCGTTCTATATACGTTCTATATACCCGTCGTACTATATTGTCTGCATCAGCAAAACAAAAAACTCCGGCAAGTAGCGGTAATATTTCTGTACTTCTACAGTACTTTTGAGATCAGTGCCCATTGGTGATTCTCTTCAACGATTATTACGCCTACTTTTATCTCAAATTATCTGTTACGGTTGTTGGTAGCATAACATGCCTATATCATTAAACATATTTCATTTAATTAATGTTATTTATTTTATCTATCAGAACAATATAAGTATGCATATTATATATATTTTCTGTTTAAGACACATTGTAGAATCATTTTAAAAGGTTTAAATCTCGATTTACATACGAAATATAGGAAGGAAAACATGATATCTTTATAACAGTTTGCTTTTCCGGAATTTCGATATCACACCTATTTCCTAGTCGTTCTATAGGTCCTATATCCATATTTGTTTGCATCAACAAAACAAAAAGCTCCCGGTAAGTAGCTACAATATACAATATAGGCCTAGGCCCTATTTCTGTTCTTATCCTGTACTTTTGAGGTCAGTGCCCATTAATGATTATTACGCCTACTTTTATTTCAAATTATTTGTTACGGTTGTTGGTAGCATAACACGCCTATATCATTAGACATATTTCATTTCATTATTTAATTTGTTTATCTATCAGAACATTAAGTTATATATATATTTTTAATGTTATTTTATTAATAACGTTTCTTATACACGGAATGCAATTTCTTACAATTTTAACCAGGGTGTAAACATAATATTGATAGCTATGTATTCTTTGCTTAAACTTACAGAATTTTTAAAAGTATATATTGTTGTGTAGCACAACAAAAAGAAAGTAGAATTTCAAATTACCAAAAACATTATAATGAGTTGCTTAATTACCGGTACTCAAATATTATCTTTGGCCCGTGAGCCCAACTCAAAATGAATGTTGGCCCTTTAAACAAATTGATTAAGAATCTGGGGTAAAGGAGAGGTAGAAATAGTGTCGAATGATTAGAGGTTCACCACCGCAACCTATTGATTGTGTGTTTGTTGAGTAATGAAATGTCTGTGTACATAGTTCGGGTGCTCAAATTAAACATACACTTGAAACTCGAATTGTACGTGGCAATTTATTTATTTGTACCCAGTATTGTCAACAAACACTCCCTAAAAACAGCTTGAAAATGCTCAGATTGTCGAAGCACCAGGGGGATTCGCCCCCAGAACCCCGCCGGGGCTCCGACCCTGGACCCCGGCGGGGACACTGGCTGCCCTTGCACGCGCGTTTCAGATCTTTTAGGTTGGTAACTATGTTAATTAAATGACTGAATAAAAATAAAACATCTAAATATGTCACTTGTGACATATCCATCTCTTAACATGTTCACAAAAAATGTCGGCGAATTGTCTGTCGGAAAATTGTCTGTCGGCGAAAGTCCTATCAGCAAATGTGGTGTCGGCAAAATCATGTGCCGGCGAATGGTATTTCGGTCAATAGTCTGTCGGCCAAATGTCTGTTGGTGAAACGTCGGGCCACGGTACTGGACATAGGCCAAGCCTACTGGCTAAGTTGAACGTAGGTCAAATTAGGCCTAGCCGCTATGTTGCAGCTAAAAACTACCCCATTAAGAACGGTTTTTTGTTTTGTTTTGTTTTGTTTTTTGTTTTTGTTTGTTTTTGTTTTTGTACGAAGAACGGTTCTTTGGCGTTCGCTGCACAAGAACCGTCCTTTATTGGGACGGCAAAATAGAACAGTTCTTTTTTGTGGGCCTTGTTTCAACTGCTACAAAGAACGGTTTATTCTCGTCAGTATAAGCAGACCCCGGGACACCTCTAAATATAGTGATATTTAAGACCACTTTTGTGCCTGTCTTTAATTACAGGGATTCTAATTAGAGACAAAGCTGCTAAAGACCTCCCAAATCCCGGTCCCAAAAGTGATCTTTAATTGGAGGGAGACCTACCAGTACCCTAAATACGAGGGCGATTCCATTGTTTCATTGAGGGTATGCTGCGTTTCAGCCGTCATACACGGACTACGTATTGTTAATATTCAGGCACAGGGCGGAAGTATGCAATCAATGGAGTGAATGCTCTAGTTATATAGCTGTTTTCATGCATGGTATTTTACCAATCAAATTTGAATTTACTGTGTAAATAGACCGAGCCGAAATAATGACTTTTTCTTCTAATAAAATTCTAATATTAAAGAAATTTTCTTTGTTAATAAAATTATCATTAAAAGTTTTATAAAAACAACTTCTATTGTGTTTTACTCACTAAATTTGAAAATTCTATTTAATCAGCTAATAAATTATAATGCATTTGTTGGTCTATGAGGAATTACCATCGATAGTATGGTAGTATAATATTAAAGCCGTTTATTAGGCCAAGTGAAAAAGAAAAATCAGTTTCTCCTCTGAACAATCACAAGACATGGAAAACATCATTAAGTGGGTGGGGGGGTGTTGGGTTTTCACTTTATGTAAAGCCTACTAACGACGCTCCTGCATACGTACATCCTTACTGAGGAGTTTATGCAGTAACGCACCAAAACCAGAAGTCGCTTTCATTAGTAACGTGATATTCAAGTCACTAGAAAAGGATTGTAATCACTTGAAAAAATAAGAATTCAAAAAATTAATTAAATACATTGAAGCTAAGGAGGCAGTGAAAAAGAAAGCTGGTGTGGATGGGGAACTATTATATATTTTTACTTGGCCTTATACCTGTTTACACAGTCTTCATGTAATAAAATGCTTTTTGATGAATATTTTATATAATTTATTTTTTAAAATTCAATTATATTCAATGATTCCCACTACCAGTTTTAGAAAGACTATTTTGAATTAGAAATTTTGTTTTATGATTTTTGTTTTTTGCCTTTCTCGAACTATTCCATTCTAAGTAAATACCATTCTAAAAAAAAAACCAAAAAAAAACAAAAAAAATGGGCCATTATGGAATTATCCGTGGCAACCTTTATATTGGTTTACGCAAAGAATATGGACTGCAAGAAGTCCGACTCTCAGGTTTTCATTGGAACGTAATCCTATTTTCAAAAATTACTACTACAAACTAGAGGGCGTCCTTCAAAAAACGAGTTTTGAACTCTATTCGCTTTCTGATAGGGCGCCCCCTACCTCATGGTAGTACTTTTTTAACGTTTAATTGCCTGCATACAAAATCAGGGCAGTCGGCCTCCTGCAATTCTATACGCTTTGATTTAAGTCCGGCCCCTATCTCATCGCGAAGCCCTCGCGAAGATACATAGTGAGCTATTGTATGCTTTACGGCGGACCAAGACGGTATTGTGGCAGTTTGCGAACGGAATCTCGGTTTCCTGAGAAAATAACACTGATTTTTAGTGATTGTGAATCTCTGTATTCGTCGAACTATTGATAAAAGAAAAAGAGCGTTGGTAAAATCTGTGTGGTAGGCCTAAAGCTGGATACTTAGGATTAATATCTTAGTACTATCCTAAGGATGAACGACGTTAAGATGGCCAATGCTGGTACTCAAAACTCGCATTCACGACATGTTAACTACGGCCATGGAGCTAATCAAGACAAGAAGAATGGGACTCATGGTAATATGGCTAACAATCTGAAAACGAATAAGAAATGGGTTCGATTAGCGACTGTTTTTGCATATGTACTGTCTGTTTCTCTTGTCGCTATTGTACTCGCAATATATTACAGCTTCGTATGGGAACCATCTCCGACGCCTGAACAATGCACGGTAAATACAGTTTGTTTTCTTATGTTCTTTTCATTTCGCCGTTACTGATCATCAGCATTGTATCGATTATTAATCTCCTCTGTGATATTCTTTTCACATTCTAATTCCTACAATTTTAGTTGTCTTCATGCATAGGGATACAATAAGATTACTGTAAACATTTAGTATTAACAAGCCCCACTCTCCGGTAAACATAATTTTTTCAAGGTGATCAATTTCGTGGAATTTGTCATCTTGTCAAAATATTAAATGATTAATTGTAATGAGTGATTATGCATTGCAGAATTACTAATGATAAAACAGTTAAAAAATTATTGACAACTATTGACAACATAAAACATTGTTAAATTATCAATTTTTTTTTCTTTATGAAATCTTCAATTAATCTATGTTTCAAGCCAAGTTGAAAATGATGTTTCTCATTTGTATGTACTTGTTTTAAAATTTATTTGTTTCATGTTAGGATGCATGCTATTACCATTAATGCATTTTTAATGAATTCTTCTATTGTTAGCCTGTGTGTCCATTTTACACTACAGAGAGTACCAGTAACTGAATAATCTGATGGCTATAAAAGGGGCCTCCTTCCATTTTACATTTTACATTTAAAGGATCTTTATCAAAGAAATTTTTTGGCCTAAATTATTGTTTTAACACAACTTTTTATTGATTTTATTTAAAAAAACCAATACAAAAATGATACAAATCCAGTAGTGGATTCAAAGTGGTGGGGGGGGGGGGTTCAGCCAGCCCAAGGCCCCTACATTTTTCAGAATTATAGATAAAATGGAGAAAAAAGGGAAAATTATATAATCAAATTAATTTCTGAGAGTGCCATTTCTGGCCATCTGGAGGTGCTACAATCATAAATTTTGCTTATTGATCTACATCTGTGAAAGTCACTCCAGGCTCCCTCTATTTTGAATTTCTGGATCCGCCACTGAAAATGGACAATTGAGAACCTATAAATTCAGGAAATATCATTCCACACAGTTTATTTGCATTGTGTCCATTAACATAAAGTGCTATTAAAGCTGCAAAAATATATTTACAGGTAAATTTTGTATTAAAATTATGATGATTTGGTAAGAATTTTCCCTCAAACTAAATTTAAATTAATTTCAAGCAAATGATCATTATTTTCGGAATTTAAAAAAATAAACATTAAAATTGGTGGTTTTCCTACTGTGGTGTCAATGTCTTCAGTGCTTTTTTGGAAATTAGGATTACGCAATAAACAAAATTATAAACAATTTAGAAAAATTGTACCAGCTTAAATACTGTACACAAGGTTAGTTAAAAAGAAGAATATAAAACAAAATAGAAACAATAATGTAAAATTTAATATTCTCTTATTATTGTTACATTAAAGAATATTACATTACTTCACTGATATCCTAAAACCATGGAGGTATACTGTATACTGTACCTTCATGCTATAACTTACTGCACAGTAAAAAAAATATATATATCTAAGAACTTTTAAAAACTGAACACACTTCATTTTCTTTCCAATGAACTCCCATAACAATGTGACAGTAAGGGGTCGTTTACAATTTCCAACATTTTCACAAGTGTAAAAACAGTAGGCTACACTAGGGGGGAGGGAGTAGGCAAATTTGTACATTTTTACATACTATATGCATGATTCAAAATAACATGCAATATATGAAATAATAAACTTTTATAACCAATTACAGTATATTGCAACCATTGATATAATATAGATTTTTATATAACCAAATACAGTACTTTAGTTGACTTTTCACAAAAAATAGAGAAAGGTTTTGCAAAGTCAACATTTTTTATATGTACACTTTCAGGGGGGGGGGGGGGCTAGTGGGGGGGGGGGGGGGGGGGGGGGGGCTACTGAAAAAGAGTACTGTTTGTACACTTGCGAAAAATGTTGACGACCCCTTAACACGGCAGATATTCGAATAGTTTCATTTGGTTTGCTTATAACAAGGTAGTTTGTTGTAACTCGTAAAGATTTAAAGGTCTCTGGGCTTCAAAAACCAGAACCTTCGAACATTTGAAATAACAAATATGACAATTCAAATAAAATTGAACATAAACCTGCTGCACTCAGTATTTTGATAGCCTGGTGCTCCTATTTTCCCTCTCATTACTGTCTCTTATACACATCTAGATGTGTATAAGAGACAAGGTATAAAACATGCACAGCAAGCAGCCCTGAGACTGAAAACTTTGAACTTAACAAGATTTTTAAAATATGCTCTACTAATTACAATTACTTATTAAAAAATAACCTCAAAAGATTGTCACTTAAAAGCACTGAATTTCAATTATTACTAATAAACAATTTTTAAAAAAGTTGGAATTAACATTTAGGATATATAAAAATATAATATTTTAAAAATTAATTATTTTAATTATCTTTCAGGCTACAACTACACCTTCTACAATGTCTACACCTTCAACTGGAGCGTAGTAAGAAGATGATGTAAAGGATTTACACTTTAAGTTCAGTTCTGTCTATGATGGACTAAAACTGTGTGATCTATACACATATGATGTGTCTGAATTCTTAAAGAATAGGCATCACCATTTTTTATGGACTAAAAACATCTTGAATTTCATCTTGATAATTCATTGTCATCGTAAAAATGTCTGCATCATCGACGAGTTCTTGGTGACACAACTCTTCTTTCGCCAGGTCGCAGATTTTTTTTTAGATTTGTTTTGGTTGCAGATACATCCTTTAAGCTTTCAAATTAATTGCATTGTTCTCTCCTTTATTTCTGTATTTTCCATGTGATATAGGCCTATAAGTCAGATGTTGGGTCTAAAATACTGGAAGCGTGTATTACTATGGTGATGCCATTTGGAGAATAGCAGGCTCAGAATTTGTACGTTTTTAACAGGATTATGGGGGTGGGGGCTCACTGAATATTGCAACTTTCGGGACAGAGACATCAAAATTCAAAGAACCTTGTAGTTTGACTTCAAATCAGAATGGAAATGTAATCAATAGTATTCATCTAGTGAAAATACATTGTATATAACATACTGTAGGTTGATTAGAATTTTTGGAATATTTGGAGAAAAAAATACATAAGACACTGTAACTAAAGCTTACTGTAAATAGGGTGACTACTGTATAACTAATGTAGGGTTAAAATAACTAGGGTCACAGTAACTATGGTTATACTAATGTAACTATGGTCACTGAAACTTGAGTTAAAGTATTACTAAGGTAATTAAAAGTGTTCAAACATGATATATTTTTAAATACTATGTAGATGTTTATATTAGTTTTCTATTTGTAGTTGTTGGGAATCCAGATAAATTCTGCTTGTATTCTCCACAGCCTTTCATTGTCTTGAGTCATATATATTATAATTTAATAATAACAAGACATTCGCCTTCACAGAAAGTGTAATCATTTGATGGTATTTACGTATGTATGCGCAAGACAACTCTATACCATTCAAAATATGCAGCCTCATTAGTGGTCTGCCAAAAGAATTGCAACATGATACTCATCAATATGGCTTGGTTGCAATTGTGTTATTCTCACATTAATTATAAACTTACCATGTACCAAGCCCTTTGCAAAATTAGTGCATCAAATGTTAGGTTAAATGCACTACAAACCACCAATTTTAGAATATGCAGTGCAATGAATGAAGATCTAAATAGACCATGCATATTTGAATAGTCTGAGGGAGTTTCCAAGAACTTGCATTGATAAAATGCTGGTCTAAATGCTGATAATTTTTTAAAATATTTAAATCTTAAATTAACATGTTTATAGGGGTGTGTATATATTGAGCTGTAACCTAATATGTATATACAGTAATATATATATATATATATATATATGATTTTTTTTTTATTAAGTATTCTTTTTATAGTAACAAGTGTATTAAAGGATAGATTTGGACTGTTATTTATTCAATTTAAAATTATCAGAAATATGTGTAACATGGATTATCGCATATTATATAGTTATGATAACATTAGTAGACAATTATATTGGCAATGATTTATGCTCTGTAAATTTTCATTATTCATTCCTTTGAGAGAAATGGTAGACTTAATCATGGATTTGACATACAGATCAGTTTATTTGGATCAGTGATTTGTGAATTGACCTGCTATGAAAATATGCTGGATCATCCAAAGCTCGTGAAAAGTACCAAATATTTTATGCTGGTAGATGCAACAATGATGGGCCTTGATTGTCTACATCAAACACCATTCGTCATACTTGAATGATTACTGATGATGCATAGAAATTTCTATAGTTGTGTTTTTGTATGGCTTAGTCTTTTGGAAGTATGGTTGAATAGAATTGTTATTTATGTAGCCTAAGTACACATGGGAGGAAATGCAATGAGGTCATTTTTTTAGCCTAGCATCTGGGTTTTTTTTCACATAAATATCATGTAGTTGGGGAATTGAGGAGACAAAAATTTAATCTCTGCCTACAAATCATGTTGGTTTTCTATTAGTTAAAGGCTTTGAAAATTTGATGTTTATGCTGATTTCGTAGAATAAAATATATATCATATCACCAAACTCATCATGTACACGATTCATTTTTGTTACTCAATGTTCTTGTTTGTTTTATTCGAAGTTGTTATTGATTAATGTGTATAATTATTATGTTAACAACATCAATCATTATTATTATTCTTCTCTTAAATAATGTTGTGTCGCTCAAAACAAGGATGTTTAAATTGTACTGTAGTTTGAACGACCCACACACTTCAAAAGCACAGGTATTCTTTAAGTGAATTTTCATTATAATATGAATGAATATGAATAATTCAACATATATTTTGAATATCCATTAATGCTATGTATATGACATTCTGAATATTCATTGTTTTAAAATATTCATCAATATTTTACTATTCATTGTTTTTTATAGATTAGCTCAACAGTAAATTGAGTGTAATTTATTGTTTTGAAATGTATAAAAAAAATTATAATTAAGAATAAGGGATGCTAAATACACAAACATTATATTAATTTCCAGGTAAACCAATTATGCAACTAGAAACAAAGGAAGACAAAACTTAAGCTCTAGCTGAAATATATACAGTACCCTTTGGATTGCCAAAAGTGTAAGACCCTATCGGAGTGCCTCTCCAATACTGTACTTGATCAAACTAGCACAAATGCAATAATATAATAAAAATTTAAATTTAAAGTAATTTATGTTAAAATATTACTAAAGATAAATGACTAATACATATGAAAAGCATACACTGCACTATTTAGGTCTTGGATTCTATCATGCATCACACTGTCCATGATCACACACTATAGCAGTTTCATTAACATATCAATGGTGTTCACTCTTATTCTTATATTATTGGTATCTGTAAACAACTCAACCAAATTGTATCGAAATTTTACAGGAGATTATTGGTTTACTCATTATAATTTTTATGATTTTTAAAATTATGTGACTATAATTGTAGCAGTGTTGAATATCAATGTATATTTTTTTGTCAATTAAGGATGTAATGAAATCGATGTGATGATTTCCTTTACAATAAATTACAGACCAAGGTTGAATTTTGTATTCTGTGCATAATGGTATAATCATGGAGCATGATAATGTATTGGTATTTCCCAAATATTTTAAGAAAATATTTTAATACTCATGAATATTCATAATGTTTTAAATATTCAATGCTTGAATATTCATTAGGTTTGTATATTTACTGAATATTTATTCAGGGCTGGAGCCAGTAGATGCCCCTGTTGTGGAGAAATTTTTTTAATGTATTTTCTACATATTTAGTAGGCTCAAAAGTCGATTAAAGAAGCCTTTGAAACCCCTGAAATTGTCATGTTTGCCCCCTGGACCTCATTTGAAACATTTTGAGCGACACCCGACCACGCCCACTTTGCTCACGTCGGGGGACATCTGGCAAATCCTGGGGCAACCGCTGTGTACATTATGCATTGAATATCCATAATGACATTCATGATTTAATTGTTCATCAAATGTTGAATGCTCATATTTTGCATATCATAATCATTCATTATGTTTTAAATATTCAATAATACCGATTTTGAATATAAATGATATGAATATGCATTATTTTTTTAAATATTCATAAGTATTTTATTTTTGAAAGACTAACGAGCATGTGAATTGATTTTTAAAAATTTATTATGTTTGGAAAATGCAATTAACAATTTTTTCAGTGTTATGTTTAAGATATGCCTTATTGATATTTCTGAGATTGTTATTGTTATGTAGATCGTGTTTGTTAACCAGAGACCTTTTCAGTAATAACATGGGACATGTATGTAATAGATTATTAATATATAAATGCTATTAAAAAGAATAACAGTATTTAAAAAGAGATGAGTCTCTATAATGCATATACAGGCATATAGGCCTATTCCTATTTTTGTTCTACACATTATTACACCAGGCTATGGACTAAAATACCAACTGGCTCCAAATTAAGAAGTCTCCAAGTAAATAATTAAGGTTTTGGAATTATGTTGATGATGCTTATTACATTTGCACGTTCAGGCTACTGAGCTCGGAACCGAAGTACTGTTTTTTAGATTTATGCTCCCGCGATAGCCTCCGGTTGTAAACATAGTATTTTAATCTTGTAATATTTTTCGTTCTTTTACGTGTTATACCATCACCGTTATGTATGGATCAGGGGAGGATTTGGTGTGGGGGGCCCGGTCCGGCACCGCACCCCCCCCCCCCTTGTTTTTTTTGGAAAGTAAAAAAAAAAGGAATAAAAGAGAAAGAAAAAAAAAATTGATCGCCCAAATGTTATTTTCAGGCGTCTAGAAAACAAAAGTTTTGCGGTGGCATTCCCCGGACCCTCTAGGGTGGTGTTATCTCGATCAGCCTCCTTTTGCCTCCCCCTTTTTCGGACATCCGCCCCTGAAGCAGGGGTGGCGCCAGCGAGGGGCCGGGGGGGAGACTGTCTCTTATACACATCTAGATGTGTATAAGAGACAGCCCCTCCCCCGTCGGGAAGAATAAGCACAATTCGTCGGGGAGAAAAAATTGTATGTATTTTCTACATATTAGTAAACTCTTAAATCGTTTAAATAGCCTTTGAAACTCCGAAATTGTCCACTTTCGAAACCTTTTGATCGAAGCTCGACCACGCCCACTTTGCTTTCTTCGGGGAAATCTGACCCCTCGTCGGGGACCTCGGCCCTCCCGTTGGGCAAATCGTGGCGCCACCCCTGCCCTGACTCATACATTTCTGTACTAGGCTCGCTCTTTGTTTTTCCAAGGAAGTGTTGAAACAAGTCAATAATTTACGATGTTCTATCCGTGAAATGTATGGTTAACTACCTACGCAGTTTAGATATTCATTAATTTTAATTGAACGTAATATCCAGCATCATCATAAACACCATCATCTCCAAGACCCTAATTAGGCCTACACTCCTCTGGTGGTGGATATTAATAGAATCAGAATAAAAATGATCTTAAAGAATGGTACAGTACTAGCTCGCTCTTTAATAGTTTCC